TAGATCATTATATTTCAATTATAAAAGGGCTTAGAAACGAAATGAATAAAAAGAAATCTACCCGTATTCCACCAATAAAATCGTGAGTGTTAATTATCGTATGCAAGTCCTGTTGGCGCAACAAACGAATAAACATATACATCAACACACAGTGACAGACACAACTATCTCCTCGTTTGTGTGTGTGTGTGTGTGTGTGTGTGTGTGTGTGTGTGTGTGTGTGTGTGTGTGTGTGTGTGTGTGTGTGTGTGTGTGTGTGTGTGTGTGTGTGTGTGTGTGTGTGTGTGTGTGTGTGTGTGTGCGTGTGTGCGTGTGTGCGCGTGTGCGCGTGTGCGCGTGTGTGCGCGTGTGCGCGTGTGCGCGTGTGCGTGAGTGCGTGCGTTTTAATTAACTCAACACGAACATTGGCACATGAACGCTATTATCTCAGTATACAATGATGTCATTATCTTATTTAATTCCTTTATTTACACGAAAATTTGGCACCGACGGTACAAATTTAACAAACATTCTAATAAGTCTAATGAGCCAAAGAGCCATGGCGTAATTATTTGGCTCACACTCTGCCTGCGCATGTGAGTTTTTCGCAGAAATTTAAAAAAATTAAGAAACTTTTCCAACATGTTTCTCGCGATATAATATGAGCGGTCATGCAAGTACATCGCGACCTCATCGTCCGTCTCGGCTATTGTCGTGTTTCCACATCACGCTATGTTACTACTTATGCTTCCTTCTTACTGCTATGTTTTCTCACTATATATGTCTAATATGTACACCATATTCTTTGGGTCACTAAGCTCTGCTGGGATGCGTACCTATGGTAATATATGGTGTGCGGCTGCCCCGTCTAAACTGTGCATGGCGCTCAAGGGTTATTTTATGGGCTATTTTCCGATTATTTATGATGCATCGCGGCATCTCGGCAATTGCAAATATGCGCGTTGTATTTGCACAAGAAGCCTCAGTAGTAGCAGTAGTGGTACGAGCCTGTGAGCGCTTGGTAGTAGTAGAACACCGCGCTACAGCTATACTCGCATTCCTTGCCTAGTACACAGCATCGACTGGACATGTGGTCCGAAGACACGGATACTGACGAATATAGAGCGAAGCTTAGCGAGATGAGCGAGGATTATTAGAGAGAATTTAGAAGGTATATCGAATACAGATCAGCAATAAAGAATTCCTTGCGGCCGGTTACACGCACGCGCTACTTCGCCTATAGTATTTCATCTTAGTTTTGTTTAATTTTTACGACAAGGCGGTTTTTGCCTCCACAAAGCATCGGCTTGCGCTCGTACGAAACTAAACGACGATTGTATTCGTACGAGCCCGAATGGTGGCAGCCAGGCGAAACTGCACCGCGAGCCCACTCACACGAGTTCCCACGGAACTGTGCGTCTTTACCGTATAGTACCCACGTACGGATATGCATACACGTACCCACGTACGTGTATGCATACACGTATACCCACGTACGTGTATATACGTGTACGTACGTGTATATACGTACGTATATGTGCGAAGGTTCTTTACGCCTCTGATATCTCGTTCACCTCCGTGACGCACGGCAACGCTGTCCCCGTGTTCTCATTGTTTGTCACCGCCGCCGCCGTCGTCGTCGCTGTCGCCGTACGCGACCCCGTCGTAACCCGCGTCGCCGATTCAACGCCACCTAGCGATCGCAGTCCCCGCGCGCAACTGGCGTCGGTCACGGGCGGCAGAGTCAGGTAGAGTTTGTCGCGTCGCACGAAATCGACGTAGTAGGAATGCAGCAGCGCGTTCTCGGCTTCTTGTCGCATGTACTTCGCCATCAATATGACGATGCTGAACGCGTAGAACAAGATGACGATGATGATGTACAGGAAAGCGTCAACGTCGTCGGCGTCGCTGCCGTCAGCGGCGGTCAGGTTCGCGCATGCGCCGCTCGACGGCGTTTCGACGTGTTCCACCTTGATGAGGACTCCGTGGTTACGCGCCAGAGTTGAGTTTAGAATGCCTAGTAGCGTCTTCACGTCGCCAGCGCCACTAATATCGCACATGCTTGCGGTTTATATAAGCCACCAGATCTCTCGATACCAGCGCAGCGTGTCTCAGACGTCACTGGAATGTGACGTCGATAGTAATGACGTCAGAGCGTTTGATCGCAGTGATCTAACCAGAGAAACGATATACTAGTTAGACACACTCTTCATAGTGTTTCTATATACTTCTATGGATCTAGCACAACGTAGTTCTGCTAGTTTAAACTGCTTGAATCCGGTTCATTCCCACGGAATGACAATTCGATCGACTATTGTTCAGCGTGACGTCATCACTTCCTTCGTATCTCGTTCTTTCCTTTTCCATTCGTATTGGCTTCTCGTCCTGTCTCTTCTGTAATGCATAAAAATGAGCGAGCATTCTTTGTTCAATCTTCACCGCACGCGACCCGACGCGAGCTTTAGCGAGGAGCCGAAAACACGTCGCAGCATCCGTCGCTACGCTGGGCAGCATCCCGCACACGCGCGCAAATCCTACTGTATTAGCGTTACCGGGAACAGTGAGCATTTACTGCCGACTTTTGTGTAACCACCGCGAGTTTTCCGGCTTCAACGTGTATATACGGCAAAGTAAACACGGGTCTAGCGTTATGTGATAATTAATCAGATGGCATGCGCGCGGGGGTAAACGGCGTACTTACATGTGTGTAGCTGATGCTGAATACGACGGAAGCCGGGAGCTGCAAACAAGAATCCTTCAGCTGAAGCCATTGAAAGAACTGATCGTTGTGCTCTTCTTCTTCTCTGCTGAGCGGGGCAGCAGCTGCTGCCGCCTGTTTGCTTGTGGGCGGGGTCGAGCGTGCGATTAACCATATCAATCTCATTTTCCGCGTATTTCTCATTTATTTCTCATCTCGCCGTGTTTAATTCGCTACCGGGGGGAAATACAAACATTTAATTGCTACTGTGGGATAATGAGAGAAGTTTACCGTGCGTCTAGTGCGAGCTGAACTTGCGCTTTGTCTACGTTGTACTCTATGGCACTGATTCTAGATACTTGCGGTATTCCCAGATACTTCCGGGAGAGGTGGCGATGTGGAATGTTAATCTACTAAAATTTCTTATAGAATAAAAGAATAAAAGTATAATATAATACAATATAGATAATATAACTGAAAATCGTTCAAGCCTTTTTGGGCAAACGGCTACGCGCAAGGATCTGGTCCATGGATATAATCAAGAGTGCATAATAGAGATCTATTATGCACTCTTGATATAATTCCTCGTGTCGTTGAAAAGTCCTGACGAGTCTCTAGAGCTCATTGCTGATCGGTATTACTCAACAGCGTGCCGCCACTGCTCGTGAATAACGCTAAATGTTCACGTTTAGTCGAGACGTTTCTCCGTGTACAAATCGTCTTGCTACACTCCAAGGACCGCCTTCTCTCTAACAGCATAACAACGCAGCGGGGCTCAGAATATCACGTGAAACGTGATCCGTGGTACGGCGCCCATTGACTAATAGGATTCGCACACACTTGTCGTGCAATTCTTTCGAGACATTTCTCCGCCTCTCGCGCTTGTATGTAAGCTGGCGCCTGACGGACAACTGGTGCCACTGTGTTATGCCACATAGCGCCAACTGGTTTACGACTTCGTGGTAAACACACGATGCCGGTTATAGCAGACAAACATGCGCGCCAGGCCGGCGACGACGATGACGATAATGATGATGATGATGATGATGATGATGATGATGATGATGATGATGATGATGATGATGATGATGATGATGATGATGATGATGATGATGATGATGATAATGATGACGATGATAATACTGGTGTTTGTTGTTGTTGCTGCTGCTTTGCTGCTGCTGCTGCTGATGATGATGCTGATGATGATGATGAGGATGAGGAGGAGGAGGAGGAGGAGGAGAAGGAGGAGAAGGAGGAGGAGGAGGACGACGACGAGGAGGAAGAGGACGAGGAGGAGGAGGAGGATGAAGAGGAGGAGGAGGTTGATGAGGACGAGGAAGAGGAGGAGGAGGAGGGGAAGTAGACGGAGAAGGAAGAAAATTACGTGAAGGAGAAGGGGGAAGAGAGCGAGGAAGGTTAGGAGGGGGAGGAAGTTAGACGCACATGCAGCGCAGTGATGATAACTATTAGCTGCTCTCACGGACGTATAGTTTCCGTACAGACGTTTAGTTTCCGTACGTGTAGACTCAGGCAGTCTTTCTTCACAGCACGCCCGAGCGAAGCGCGGCAGGGGAGACTCCGTTGCCTAATGTGTTCTCGGTATATTTTCGTTCGCTGATTTCGTTCCGGAAGATTCGCGGCAGCTCTGGCCCGCACTCTATCGCGAGTTAGCATCGAGTTCGCAAGAGTCAGGGACACAGGACCCATGCGGGGAAAATATATACGATGGCGGTTACGTGGGGAAGTGGGCGCGGGCGATTGCATTGGTCCGGCCGTGGTGAAGTGGGTGGTCCGAGTTTAGACGTCTTTCTAAACATAGATCATTGCCGAACACTAACGGCTGTTGTCAAGGTTATTTCGGGGAGTACAGAGCGAGATAATAATCGTGATTGGGTCTTTCGTTGTTCTTCATAAAATAACTGGCGAAATGTCGAGATGAAAACTATAACTGCGTGCACGCGAACGAAGTGCGTGCACGTTTACACACGCACGCAAACAAAGGGCACATGTAAAAATATAAGCCACGTGCGCGCGAACACAGATGCGCGCCACAACAAACTTCTTATCATAACATCAGGCGTGAATAATAATAGACAGTAAATTCAGTAATCTATTATTATTATTCACTCCTGATATGATAACATCAAGAGCTAATAAACACTTGGGTGTTATTAATAAACCCAGGTGTTTATTAGCTCCTGATAACATCTTATTTCCGATTAGCGGCTTTCATTTCCGTTTTTCTTCCATCGACGAGCGTTTGCTATCGTCTCTCTCTCTCTCTCGCTATGTGTAGTGTAGCTTGTGTTCTTAAACACACGAGTTGTTACGGCATATGGCGCTAGTCCGTGAGCATGCATGCTGTTTGCTCCCGTACTATTTTCTCGAACGCCTACAGTTGCGTACATGCAGTTTATCTGTGTGCTTAAACGTTGCCTTCTCGTTCGTATTTTTACGGATATGGGCCAAGGAGGCTGCTACGCTAACTGTTAACGGGTGGTTACACTGGTGGATGGAACGAGGACATTTTCGCGTGGTTATACAGAGCATAGAGATGAGTGACAGGGCCGTAGCATGAGGGGGGGGGGCAAGGGGGCAGCTGCCCCCTAGATTTTGGAGCTAAATTAGAAAAATAAATTGTTCTACTAAAAACGAATTGTCGTAGTCAGAATGAAGGCTGTACATGTACTCAAAAGTGCCTCAAATACCATCTCGATCCTGCGATCTACATTTTCAAAATGTTCTGTGGGAAGACCCTCGCTTGTTTCTCACCCCCTCCTTGAAATCCTGGATCCGCCACTGCCCCCCCCCCTAAAAATTCGCTCACCCTACGGCCCTGAGTGACGACCAAGTCATCGGTAGTGCTGGACGGCTCGCATCGCGACATGGAGGCAGTCTATAAGAAACGAGTGCTGCGGCTTTAGCGCCAGTCTCCTGGCAGCGCGATGTTTCGCGAGTAAACCTCGCGGCGCCATCTGGTGACTAGGTCACGATATATATAGGTTGGCGTGAGGTGAGGACGCTTGCATGCAGACGCCAGCAGATGTCACTTGCTGTCACGTGACGAGCCCGTAATTACCCAGAGTAGAATGCCTGACCTCGTTATTTATAATTAAAATATAATTGGAAAGACACGGTTCCATCCACTCATGATGTGTGTCCTACATATACCTGCGACTTCACGACGTTGAATATTTTCCTTGACGGCAGGCAACGACAGTCGAAAACGAATTATAATTATATGTCACGCATACGCACGTCGCGCGCCGACTGATTGCTAACTCACCTGTCTCGAAAAGACTTGCGATTCGGACAAAAACAACTTGGCAAGGCCAACGTTCATAGGCGTGTAGAATTCTCACAAGGATTTTTCTGCGGTGAAATTCGGCACTAGAGTGCACTAATATGCACACGATTAAGTTAGATGCCTCGTGGACGTCTAGGAAGCATTAGAAGTTACATTGGACTTGTCGTGTAATTGTGCCATTCCAGCAAGTGGCGTATCCGTGGTGATCAATCGGCAATTTTTGTGTTTGAAACGGGATCCGACTACTCTGTAGAAATGCGCATCATAGAGCTGGCAAAGGTTTCGAGTGGAGTATAGAGCATGAATCTGTGGTTATTTAACATGAATAAAGTGCATGTTGTGTATGCGACGAAACGGTGTGAGTATTTTTAATTCATTTTTGTTCGATGCTTATTCAGGCCTGCTGCCTATGGGGACACCTTCTACTGTTGTACATCTCCTTAATTGTCGTGATTAGTGTTGTCCGCGGTGGTTCGTCAGCGCCGATACACCGATACGTCACCGATATGTCACCGATACGTTATCTCAGCCGATGATTGCAAACAGACGCGCATTAGCCAGCATCTCCGGCGGCATTACCGAGCGAGCATTACCGAGTGCGCTCCGACCCAGAAGCCAAACATATCGGGCTTCGCTTTACCAGTATAATAGCTACGCTGTCATATCAAATCCATATGCACGTGAACGCTGTTGCAGGTGGAAATTCTTTCAAAAAAAATTGTCGATCTTTCTCGTTTGTTGACCGACTAGTTTGATTATCATAAATTATTACTAATTGTTTATGATTAATTAATAATTAATACGTATTATTAATAAAAACTGAATAGCAATACTAGTGTTAGTTGTAATAGACGAACTACATTAGTAATGTATTATTTGGGAATACTTGGATAAAAAGTATGTGTCATCATATAAAAGATGCTGACCTTTAAAAGGATTTAACACACACGCATACACACACACACACACCACACACACACACACACACACACACACACGACACACACACACACACACACACACACACACACACACACACACACACACACACACACACACAGCACACACACGGCGCGCATACACAACACGCGCGCGCCCTGCGCACACCCAACACACACACAGCACAAGCAGCATCAACACACACAGCACACACACACAACACAACGCAGCGCGCGCGAGCGAGCACACACACATACACGCACACACACGCACACACACACACACAGCAGCACACAGCGCACACACACACACGCACGCACAACACACACACACACATATACACACCACACAACGCACACACACACACACACAGCACGCGCACAGACACACACACCACACACACGCGCGCGGGCGCCGCGCACGGCACACAACGCAGCAACACAGCACACCACACACGCGCCGCGCCGCGCACACACACACACACAGCACGCGCGCGCGCGCGCGGCCCCCGCAACGCACCGCAGCCACACAACACACACACCACACACAGGTGGGGGGTGGCACAGGGGGAGGGTGCAAGGGCCGGGCACGGGTGCGCGACCACATGGGCGCGCTATCACACACACGACGCGCACGCATAATATATAGATCGTACATCGTTATTTTCCTCACAAAAATATTTGAATGATTGAAAATCTGTTTATTTACATCGTGTTGGCGATGGTAAAACTACGAATAAGGAATAGACATGATGTACTAGGCTAGAAAGCATTACGTTACTCAGATGCTAATTTTGTCTGTTTGTTGCCGATTTCCAGTGAATTGTCACTATAAATGCATTATTTTCT